TCTAATGTTTATTCCATGTTAAAACCAAAGGGCTGAAGACATATTTGAGGGGGGGGGGGGAAGTCAGGTGCCAGTGGCTCACAGCTATAATCCTAGCTACTCAGGAGCTTTAGATCTAAGAATCAAGTTTCAAAGCCAGTCCTCATAGAAAAGTATAAGATACTTATCTCCAATTACCAGCAAAGTTCTGGACTGGACATGTGGCCAAAGTGGTAGAGCACCAACCCAGCAAACAAGCCCAGCAAATGCAGGGCCTTGAATTTAAAGCCTAGAACCTCAATCAAATGTAGAGCCTGTGCACGCTAGACAAGTTCCCACCCCATCTGAACCATTTTAATCTGCTTTCTTGTTTGCTTTTTTTTTTCCTTCTACCTTTAGGGTAGATTTGATTTTAGGGCCTTGTATTTGCTAGGCAGGCCCTCTTAACACTTGAGTAATCCCTCCAGTCCTTCCTGTTTCCCTATCTTAATAATTCCATCTCTGTGTCTGAGTGTCTGGGTTTGTGTCTGTCTGTCTGTCTCTTGGTCGTAGGGCTTGAACTCTGGATCTGTGTGGTCTGTCCCTGAGCTCTTCAGCTCAAGAAGAATACTCTACCACTAGAGCCACAGCGCCGTTTTCTGGTGTTTTATTGGAGATAAGAGTCTCAAGGACTTTCCACTTTCCTGCCTGGGCTGTCTTTGAACCGTGATCCTTAGAGCTCCTGAGTAGCTAGGATTACAGCGTGAGCTACTGGCGCCCAGCTATCTTAATCTTCTTTTTTTTTGGGTCTGGTTGTGGGGCCTGAACTCTGGGCCTGCGCCCAGGCGCTGTCCCTCAGCTCTTCAGCTCAAGGCTAGTGCTCTACCACTTGAACCACAGTGCCACCTCCGGCTTTTTTCTTTTTGCTTATGTGGTGCTGAGGAATCGAACCCAGGGCCTATGCATGCAAGGCAAGTGCTACCACTGAGCCACCTTCCCAGCCTCTCTCTTAATCATTTTTGTGTTGTTATTGTTGTTGTTGTTTTGGATCTGGTTGTGGGGCCTGAACTCTGGGCGTGGGCGCTGTCCCTCAGCTCTTCAGCTCAAGGCTAGGGCTCTACCACTTGAGCCACAGTGCCACTCCCGGCTTTTTGCTTATGTGGTGCTGAGGAATCAAACCCAGGGCCTCATGCATGCAAGGCAAGCGCTCTACCACTGAGCTACCTTCCCAGCCCCTATCTTAATCGTTTCTAAATGAACATTTAGTAATGGAAATATATTCACATGGTTGTACAACAAGTCTCCATAACTTTTTCATGCCCATTAACTACATTTCCTTCTTCAGTCCTAGGCAACTACTATCTACTTGTTTGTACTAATTGGACTTCTATAGATAATAGTTGGTACTACTCTATAAATGCATAATAAAAGGAGAAATCATGCAGTGTTTTTTGTTGTTTTTGTTGTTTGTTTTGTTAACCATGGGGTTGGAACTCTGCCTGGACACTGTCCTTGAGCTCTTTTACTCAAGGCTAGAGCTCTACCACTTTGAACCATAGCTCCACTTCTGGTTTTCTGGTGATTAGCTTAAGATCAGAGTTTCGTGCACTTTCCTGTCAGGCTGGCTTTGAACTGTCATCCTCAGATCTCAGCCTCCTGAGTAACTAGGATTACAGGCATGAGCCACCGGCGATTGCTGCTGTTGTTGTTTTTGGCAATTGCTGTTGTTGTTTTGAACTCTAGGCCTAGACACTGTCCCTCAGCTCTTCAGCTCAATGCGAGTACTCTACCACTTGAGCCACAGTGACACTTCTGGCCTTTTCTGTTTATATGGTGCTGAGGAATTGAACCCAGGGCCTCATGCTCTACTGCTGAACCACCTTCCCAGTCCTGTTGTTGTTTTTAAAGTGTATTAATTGTACCTATGGATTTCACTGTGATATTTCAGACATGCAGATACTGTGCTCTTAATAAACCTAATGCTGTTTCCCTGCCCTTATATTAATAACAGCTTTCACTGAAATTGTTTATGCTGTTTTCATATATTTTAAACTGTTCACTCTCCTCTTTTTTTTTGTTTTTGGTCGGCCGTGGGGCTTGAACTCTGGGCCTGAGGGCAGACCCTCAGCTCTTTAGCTCAAGGCTAGCACTCTGCCAGTTGAGCTATAGTGCAACTTCTGGTTTTCTGGTGGTTTATTGGAGATAAGAGTTTCACTGACTTTCCTTCCCTGGCTGGCTTTTATTTTTTTTTGGGTCCGGTAGTGGGGCCTGAACTCTGGGCCTGGGCGCTGTCCCTCAGCTCTTCAGCTCAAGGCTAGTGCTCTACCACTTGAGCCATAGCGCCACTTCTGGCTTTTTTCTTTTTGCTTATGTGGTGCTAGGGAATCGAACCCAGGGCCTCAGGCATACAAGGCTAGTGCTCTACCACTGAGCCACCTTCCCAGCCCCCCCTGGCTGGCTTTTAGCTGCAATCCTCAGATCTCAACCTCCTGAGTAACTAGGATTACAGGCATGATCCACCAGCACCCGGCTCACTCTCCATTTTTTATTTTTCCTTTTTCCCTTTCCCTCTTCCTCCTACATGATCTCATAGGTTAGAATCATATTCTATATATGTGTGTATATATATATGTGTGTGTGAGGATAGTGGGCATATGTAGATATCCTGTTTTGTTTTGTTTTGCCAATCCTGGGGCTTGGAATCGGGGCATAGGTGTTGTCCCTAAGCTTTGCTCAAGGCAAGTGTTCTACAGTTTGAGCCACAACTTTACTTCTGGATTTTTGGTGATTAAGTCTCATGGACTTTCCTTCATCAGCTAGCTTTGAACAGTGGTCCTCAGATCTGTTTACTGAATAGCTAAGATTACAGGTGTGAGCCGCTGGCACATAGTGAATTCTTAAGTGTGCTTTGCATGTTCTCCTTGTATATAGCATGCTACCTGGATGTCTAATTGTTACACATTTTGGTATGGATAGCACACAGGTTTGTTGGTATCTTCAACAAAGCCAACCAGATAGGCCTCACTAGTTGCCTACAGAGCACCAGTAAACACAGATCTATTTTGAAGTCTTGAGCAATCCTTTGAGGCAGGTGCTAGAAGGGGAGCTTGCAATCATTTCACTGACTCTGATAGTATCTTTTTTTCTTGTGTGGGGGGTCCCGTTATGGTATCTGAACTCAGGACCTGGGCGCTGTCCCTCAGCTCTTCAGCTCAAGGCTAGCACTCTACCACTTGAGCCACAGCACCACTTCTGGCTTTTTTCTTTTTGCTTATGTGGTGCTGAGGAATCAAACCCAGGTCCTCAGGAATGCAAGGCAAGCGCTCTACCACTGAGCCACCTTACCAGCCTTCTGATAGTATCTTAATGTCATAAATAAATCTTCCTTCTTCCCTCCCTCCCTCCTTCCCTTTTCTTCTGTGTCTTTGCATTTAACTATAACCTTAACTTCTTTTTTCTTCTTCTTCTTTTTTTTTTTTCTTGCCTTGGAGCTTGAACTTAGGGCCTGAGCACTGTCCCTGAGCTTCTGTGGTTCAAGGCTAGCACTCTTACCACTTGAGCCACAGCGCCACTTCTGGCTTTGTCTATTTATGTGGTATTGAAGAATTGAATCCAGGGCTTCATGCATGCTAGGCAAGCACTCTACAACTATGTCACATTCCCAGCCCATAATCTTAAATTCTGTTGGCTCATGTAGTGGAGCACCCTCCTAGCAAGAACTAGGCCCTGACTTCAAACTTCAGTGATACAAAAAACCCACACCTTAAATTCCATTCAAATCTTTTGTCACTCTTGGTTATTGGTGCTTCTCCCATTTGACATATTTATCTTTTATAACTTACTTTCATTCTTACTCAAGCTACATATTTACAATTGGTTATTCTGATCAGCTAGATGTTTAGGACCACTTGGTATAGTTTTATTTTTTGTTCAACTTTTACTCAATTTTCTATATGATACTTTATGTGCAGTTAGAAACTATTCCATAGACTGGAAAATATGTATGTGCATAGGTGGAAAGACTGCTATTCTTGATTTAGTCATACAGTATATGTTCTTGTGTATGTCCGAATTTTGCTTTTTTATTTTGTCGGCCTGTCTGTCCCTGAACTGTTTTGCTGAAGGCTAGCATTCTACCACTCTGAGCCACACAGCATCACTTCCAGTTACTTGTAGATAAGAGTCTCACAGACTTTACTGCCTGGGCTGGCTTTGAACCATAATCCTCAACTCAGCTTCCTTTTTTTCTTTTTTCTTTTTCTTTTGTCAGTCCTGGGGCTTGAACTCTGGACCCTGAACACTGTCCCTCAGCTCTTCAGCTCAAGGAGAGTGCTCTACCACTTGAGCCACAGCTCCACTTCCGATTTTCTGGTGGTTAATTGGAGATAAGAGTCTCACGGAGTTTCCTGCCTGGCTGGCTTTGAACCTCAATCCGCATAGCTCAGCCTCCTGAGTACCTAGGATTACAGGTGTGAGCCACCAGCTCCCAGCTAACTCTCAGCTTCCTAAGTAGTTAAGGATTACAGGTGTGAGCCACCAATGCCTGGTCAGAATTTTTAAAAAATGAAAAGATGCAAAAGTCTTTGTTTTTCTTTTTTGTTTCTGTTGAAATGAGATTTTACTCTGTAACCCATGCTGGCTTCAAACTTAAAATATTTCTTCCTTGGGGCTGGGAAGGTGGCTCGGTGGCAGAGGGCTTGCCTCGCATGCATGAGGTCCTAGGTTCAATTCCTTAGCAACACATAAAGAGAAAAACTCAGAAGTGGCACTATGGCTTAAGTGGTAGAGCACTAGCCTTGAGCTGAAGAGCTGAGGGACAGCGCCCAGGCCCAGAGTTCAAGGGCGCCCTCCCTCCCCCCCCCAAAAAAATTCCTTCCTTAGCTTTCTGAGTGCTGGGATTGCAGGTATGTATCACCATGCCTGATACCAATGAAAGAGTTTCTCTTTTATATCTCAAAATCATTAGCCCTTCCCCTTCCTTGCAGGCAGTCAAGTGATCAAATTTTACATGATAAAGGATTTGGTAATATTCTGTACCACTTTTAATTTTAATTGACTTTTTCTCTTGTAGTTGATTATGGAAGATTCCCACAAGAATAACACTTCAGAGACTGCACCTCAACCTGGTTCAACAGTTCAGGGAGCTCATATTTCTCATATTGCTCAACAGGTAAGTCAAAGATAAGCCAAAATAATTTTAGGAGTATATTATATGCAGCTTAATCTTATTTCAAATCTTTTTTTAAAAGAATAATAGAAAAGTTTATTAGAAAAATGCAGCAGAGAAAGAGTATACACACAGCATAGACATGCTCAAATCTTTTTTCTTATGGACAAAGAACTATTGGGGAGAATAAACCCTGTTTTCCCTTGTTTCTGGAAGAAAAAGAGAACTAAATGCCCCTGAAGAAAGTGCAAAAAACTATCCTAGGCTCAACTGTCCTAGTTGTGTTTTTTGTTTTTTTTTCTTGCCACTGCAGAAAGCTCCACCTTCTTGGAACCAAGGACAGAGTTCATAACTGAGACTGAGACAGACCCAGGACAAAAGAAAACCTAGTCAGACTAAAGCAGTACTAATATTTGAGAGAAGAATCAAGCAAAGACTTTAAAACATCAATAGGAAAAGTAGATTTACATATCTTGTCAAGGTTTGGGTTTTTTTCCCCTTCCTTCCGCTACTATGTAGCCCAAGCTGTCCTGAAACTCTTCCATATACAGTCCCCTCTATATCCCACCCCATGTGAACTTGGGGCCTTATGCTCTTGCTCAACTTTTTCTGCTCATGGCTGGCATTTTACTACTTGAGCCACCCCTTCCATTCTGGCTTTTTGCTAGTTAATTGGAGGAAAGAGATTTGGCTTCTAACCTCAAATATCAGATCTTAGCCTCCTTAGTAGGTGTGAGCCACTGGTGCCTGGCTGGCCTGGAACTCTTGAACCTCCTGCCTTAGCATTCCAAATGGTGGGTTAAAAGCATGCATCACCACATGCAGATTTATTATTAGCTTTTGAACTAGCCTAGAATAAAGTCTTAACGGTTTCATGAGGTAGAATACCTTTTTTTTTGTCGGTTGTGGGGCTTGAACTCTGGGCCTGGGTGCCATCCCTCAGCTCTTCAGCTCAAAGTGAGTGCTCTACCACTTGAGCCACAGCTCCACTTTTGGTTTTCTAGTGGTTTATTGGAGATAAGAGTCTCATGGACTTTCCTGCCTGGGCTGGCTTTGAACCGGGATCCTCAGATCTCAGCCTCCTGAGTAGCTAGGATTACAGGCATGAACCACCCGCGCCCGGCTATCATGTGGTAGAATATCTTTGACTCAGGGTATCTTTATTATAAAGCTCAGACTATATTGAACTCATGCCCTCTTGCTCTAGCCCCTCTGAATGCTGGGATAAATAAGTGTGTGCCATCATGCCCAATTTGAGTCATTTTCATTTTAACAGACTTATCGTGCCTATATTAGATTTTTTTTTGCTGAATAAAGAATTTAAATTGATGAGCATACATGTAGACAAAATGTGTATTTAGTAAAGAACACACATATACATATATGCACATGTATATACATATATGTATGTTATTTAAAATCACAGTGATTCTAGTAATTCTACCTACAATATACAAATGTTGCTTCTACCCTAAAACAAAAATAAATTGTGCAATCTACAAGCCATAACTGTTTTCATATTCACAAAGGAGGGATATAGACATGGTTCATTTGTAGCAGAACATAGAAGTCAGAGCTATTAAACCAAGAGTAAAAAACAATTCAGCAAAATTTTAGTGAATTGCCAAAAACTTAAGTGTAAGCTAGCATGAAACTATAAAACACTTGAAAGCTGCAGGCACAATCTGTGTTTATGCCCACTGTAGGCTTTTCTACAAGTCTCTTTAGCAGTTGCTCTTGAAGAGAGTGAGATCAGAGAAAGCCTTTCTGAGTTACATAGGTCTGGACCCTTTTCTCCTTTTTTTTTTTTAGTTGGTTGTGGGGCCTGAACTCTGGGCCTGGGCACTGTCCCTCAGCTCTTCAGCTCAAGGTTAGTGCTCTACCACTTGAGCCACAGCGCCACTTATGTTTTTTTCTGCTTATTTGGTGCTGAGGAATCCAACCCAGGGCCTCATGCATGCAAGGCAAGCACTCTACCACTGAACCAACTTCCCAGCCCTGGACCAAAGGGTCCTGTTCTTATGGACAAAGAACTTTAAACTATTGGGGTGGGTAAACCTTGTTTTCCTTTGTTTCTTGAAGAAAGAGAACTAAATGGTCCTGAGGGAAGGGCAGAAAATTGTCTTAGGCTCAGACTACTAGTTGTTTTTTTCCTTGCCACTGGGAGAAAGCTCTACCTTCTTGGAACTAAGGACAGAATCCTTAACTGAGACTGAGACAGGCCCAGGACAAAGGAAAACCTAGTCAAACTAAAGCAAGCTGCCCTTAAACAAGGGACAGAGTGCAGAGATAGCCTCTTTGGAGATCCCACAGAGAAAACCTATAGCTGAAGGTGTAAAAAGAACATAGAAAACCCAACTCTGTCTTCTCCCTCAGTGAAGCTGGTAACAGTAGAGAAATATGAAACTGGTTAATGCACTTAAGGTAATCATAACCATCCAACAATGCAATTCTTGAATAGATATGACTCCCCCTCCCTACACATATCAGTGGACTACTAGAAAAAAAATGAATCCTTTATTAGACATAAACACTGTGTGTCAAGTCTCTCCTGTCTTATACATTATAGATGTCCATCCAGGTAAAAATTATGAAATGAAATATATCAAAACTAAGAAAAAGCTGAAATCAGAAATCAAAATAATTAACAGATCTAGACTCAGAATGACCCAGTGGTTGGAACTATTAGTGAATGTGAAATAACAGTGAATTAATGTTACTTTACTGGAAATGGTAGACAGCATATCTGAACAGTTCTGGGATTGCAGCAGAAGGATGAGACCTGTCTGGAAAAAGTGGAAATGCTAAACATAAAAATGGTACATATGGGTAGTGTGTGGGCTTATAGACTTGTCACAGTTGAGGAAAGAATTAGTGGACTTAAAGATGGGCTAATAGAAATAACCCAAATAGCAAACAGAAAGAAAAAGTGAGTAGTGAGAAAAACAAAAGAGCATCCAGGAATTGGGACAATATCTGTTTAAGATAGTATAATCACAGTCCTGAGACTAGATGGTTTTACTGGGAGGGGAATCTGGTTAAAGATAGCTTTTTTTCCGTTTATGTTGTGTTTTATTTTTATTTTTTTGTCGGTTATGGGGCTTGAACTCTGGGCCTGGACACTGTCTCTGCACTCTTCAGCTCAAAGCTAGTGCTCTACCACTTGAGCCATGCGCCACTTCCAGTTTTCTGGTGGTTAATTGGAAATAAAGTCTCATGGATTTGAACTGCGATCCTCAGATCTTAGCTTCATGAGTAGCTAGGATTACAGGTGTGAGCCACTATCCAAGCAACCAGCATACTTTATGCTGTTTAACAGTGTAGCATGTGTTATAGTTCTGTCTTGCAAGAAGGCTGTGATGTACTTATGGAGAAAGTTCACGTTAGGTAAGTTTCATTCCAGCATCAATTATTGTTTTGTTGACCACAAGTTCAATGCTAATGAATTTATATACACACACGATTTTTCCCCCCATTCCTAGAGCTTGAACTCGGGGCCTGGGCACTGTCCCTGGGCTTCTTTTGCACAAGGCTAGTGCTCTATCACCTAAGCCACAGTGCCATTTCCCACTTTTTCTGGTTTGGTTCTGTTTTTTGCTTTTTGATTTTTTTTTGTCAGTGGTGGGGACTGAACTCTGGGCCTGGGCACTGTACCTCATATCTTCAGCTCAAGGCTAGTGCTCTACCACTTGAGTCACAGCGCCACTTCCGTTTCTGCTTATGTGGTGCTGAGGAATCAAACCCAGGGCTTCAGGCATGCAAGGCAAGCGCTCTACCACTGAGCCACCTTCCCAGCCCCCCCCCCTTTTTTTTTTTTTTTGCTGGTCATGGGCCCTGAACTCTGAGCCTGGGCGCTGTCCCTCAGTGATTCAGCTCAAGGCTAGCGCTCTACCACTTTGAGCGACAGAGCCACTTCCAGCTTTTTTTGCTTATGTGGTGCTGGGGAATCGAACCCAGGGCTTCATGCATGCCAGCATAAGATTTTTTTTTTAACAGAAACATGTAAGACAAGATTATATGTCATTCAGAGGAACTTACTCTGTATTTCTCATTCATCCAGTAGTTCATTATTTGTGTATTCATTGTATGTGTAAGTATATAAATACCACAGATAACAGTAATCAACTATATGTGATAAGAGTTCACTGAAAGCCTTCACAAGAACTATTGTGACCTACCTAGGTGCTGGTGGTTCATGCCTGTATTCCTGGCTACTCAGAAGGCTAAGATCTGAACATCATGCGTCAGAGCTTAAAACTTTTTTGTGTGTGTATATTGGTCCTGGGGCTTGAACTCAGGGCCTGGGCACTGTCCCTGAGCTGTTTTTGCTCAAGGCTGGCACTATAGCACTTGAGCCACATCACCACTTCTGGCTTTTTCTGTGTAGTTTATTGAGATAATGAGTCTCACAGACTTTTCTGCCCAGTCTGACTTTGAACCACAATCCTCAGATTTCAGGTCTCCCCCTGAGGAGGTGTTAGGAAACTGAGTCATGAGTGTTAGAAAAGATAAGTGGAGCAGGGCTGGGAAGGTGGCTCAGTGGTATAGCGCTTGCCTTGCATGCCTGAGGCCCTGGGTTCGATTCCTCAGCACCACATAAGCAAAAAGAAAAAAAGCCGGAAGTGGTACTGTGGCTCAACTGGTAGAACACTAGCCTTGAGCTGAAGAGCTGAGGGACAGTGCTTAGGCCCAGAGTTCAGGCCCCACGACCGGACCCAAAAAAAAAAAAAGTGGACGAAAGGAGAGAAAAGAAGGCAGAGACCTCAGCAGACTAGAACAGGCTTAAATCATGGCTGCAGAGGGACTCCATGTAACATGGAATAGGTTGGAGAAGCGAGTGGAAAGTGTGGGGGGTTTTTAGGGTTTTATACATTTAAGAGTGAGTTCTTCTTTGGAACTCTGAAGATAAGTAGCAGTTTCCCTTGGCTCATTACCTCAGCTCTTCTCCCTCTATTTATGTACTTGTTTATATTTAAATTTTTTATTTTTAAATCATCAAATGGTTGGACAAAGGAGTTAAAATTTAGCATACTCTCCTCCCCTTTCCTGGTTTGTTTGTTTTTGGCGTGGCACTTTGTTGTGTAGCCCAAGCTGGCGTTGAACTCACATACCTACCTAAGCCTTCCAAGTGCTGGGATTACTGGGGTGCATATCTTGCTGTTCTTGGACATTCTTAGTTGTCTGAATTTTCCTTTTATCCTCTTTTTGGTTTTGGGGCCTGGACACTATCCCTGAGGTTTTCTCTCAAGGCTAGGGCTCCACCACTTTGTTTTTTTTTTTTTTTTTTTTTGTCCGTCATGGGGCTTGAACTCTGGGCCTGGGCACTGTCCCTCAGCTCTTCAGCTCAAGGCTAGCACTCTACCACTTGGGCCACAGTGCCACTTCCAGCTTTTTTTTTTGTTGTCCCTCAGCTCTTCAGCTCAAGGCCAGCGCTCTACCACTTGAGCTACAGCACCACTTCCGGTTTTCTGGTGGTTTATTGGAGATTGGAGATAGGAGTCTCACGGTCTCTCCTGCCCGGGCTGGCTTTGAACCACGATCCTCAGATCTCAGCCTCCTGAGTAGCTAGGATTACAGGCGTGAGCCACCAGCGCCAGGCTGGGCTCTACCACTTTGAGCTGCGACTCTTACTTCCAGTTTTCTGGTGATTAATTGGAGATAAGAGTCACAAGGACTTTCCTGCTTATGCTGGCTACAAACAAAGGGCCTCAAATATCAGCCTCCTCAGTAGCTAGGATTACAGATGAAAGACACTAGTGCCGTGCAGAAAGAGTCTTTAATATGGTATGTTAGAAATCAAGGAGGATGTCTTAAGATGCTTCTAGCATGGATGGGTATGGAAGACTCAATAAGTAATTTTCTTTCTTTTGGTGCCAGTACTGGGGCTTGAACTCAGGGCTTTTAGTTTATTGCTTAACTTCTTCTCAAGGCTAGGACTCATCACTTGAGCTACACCTCCACTATTTGATTGTTAATTGGAGATGAGAACTTAGGGATTTGTCTTCCTGAGCTGGCTTCAGACCTTGATCCTCAGATCTCAACCTCCTAAGTAACTAGGATTCTAAGTGTGAGCCATGGGCACCTGAGTTGCTACATTTATTCTGTCTGAGTTGGAAGAGTTTACATAGTCATATAGTCTGGCCAACCCCTCAACCATTGGACAATGGTTCTGGGTGGCAAGTTGGGCATAACTCTAAAATATGGAGATCACAGGCATGAGCCACCAGTGCCCAGTTTTTTATTTATTTTTTGTCAGTTGAGGGGCTTGAACTCTGGGCTTGGGCATTAATTCTCAGCTCTTCAGCTTAAGGCAAGCACTCTACCACTTGAGCCACAGTGCCCCTTCCAGTTTTCTAGTAGGTTATTGGAGATAAGAGTCTCACGGACTTTCCTGCCCCTGCTGGCTTTGGACCATGATCCTCAGAGCTCAGCCTCCTGAGTAGCTAGGATGACAGCGTGAGCCACTGGCACCCAGCTTTTATTGTATTATTGTGCTGGTCTTAGGGCTTAAACTCACGGCCTGGGTGCTGTTCTTGAGCTTTTTTTTTTCCTTCCCCCCTCAAGGCTAGTGAGACAAAACTTACTTCTGGCTTTTTGCAAGTTAATTGGAAAGAGTCTCATGGATTTTCCTGCCCAGGCTGGCTTTGAACCACGACCCTCAGATCTCAACTTCCTCAATAACTAGGATTACAGGCGTGAGCCACCAGCACCTGGCTCTTCATTCATTCTTACCTGTATAAACTACTATTTGAGATCACTTCTTTCATCTTGAGTACATGCTTTAGCACAACAATCCTGTATAAGGACTTGTGTCTGATCATTCCTATCATGGAGGGCTATGCATATATGGGATGTTAAGTAGTAGTTCTGGATCTGTCTTTAGCTTTCTCTAGAACGTTCCCTGAGGTTTCTGGTTGAGAACTCCTGCTCTAGAATCTCCTTTTATGAGAGTCTGCTGGTGATAATTGATTTTAGTTTTTTATTTGAAATTTAGCACTTATTTCATTCTTTTTTTTTTTGTCGGTAGTAGGGCTTGAACTCTGGGCCTGAGCGCTGTCTCTCAGCTCTTCAGCTCAAGGTGAGCGCTGTACCACTTGAACTACAGTGCCACTTCTGGTTTTCTGGTTGTTTATTGGAGATAAGAGTTCCATGGACTTTCCTGCCCGGACTGGCTTTGAACCTCAGTCCTCAGATCTCAGCCTCCTGAGTAGCTAGGATTACAGGTGTGAGCCACCGGCACCTGGCTTCATTTTTTTTTTTTCTATGTGTATGCTGGTCCTGGCACTTGAACTCAGAGCCCTGGGTGCTGTCCCTAAGCTTTTTCAGTAAAGGCTAGTGCTCTACCCACTGAAGTCAGAGCTCCATTTCTAGCTTTTTAATGGTTAATTGGGAGATAAGAATGTCATGAACTTTGCTTCCTGGTATTGAACTGCAGTCCTCAGATTTCAACCTTCTTAGTTAGCTAGGATTATAGGCATAAGCCACTGGCACATGGCTCTATTATGTTTTATGTGTGAAATTGTTTTTATTCCATGTGAGAAATCGGTGTCTTGAGTAGATGGATTGGTGTCTGTCATTAGTTTAATAACATTTCAGCCATTAACTCTTGCTATTTTTTCTTACATTCTTTCTCCCTCTCATTCCATTCTCCGTATCTCTTAATCTCATATTTTCTACCTGTCTTCTAGCACTTAAAAATTTCTGTATTCCTTATTGGGGTACTAACAGTGAAAAATGGAACTGGATATTTGTTAAATTCAAGACATGAGAGAGAAATACTCTAGCATAAGCTGAGCTCAACTGTGCTGAAACAAAGGGAGCTTTTTAAACACCAGGGTGTGCTGAAAGGAAAGTACTTTTTTTTTCTTTTTTTGTTGGTTGTGGGGGCTGAACTCTGGGCCTGGGTGCTGTCCCCCAGTTCTTCAGCTCAAGGCTAGCGCCCTACTACTTGAACCACAGTGCCACTTCTGGCTTTTACTGCATATGTGGTGCTGAGGAATCAAACCCAGGGCCTCAAGCGAGGCAAGCACTCTACCACTGAGCCAACTTCCCAGCCCCAAGAAAAGTACTTAAGACTGCAGATGAAGAGATTTGTCCATGTGATGGGTATCTGGATTTGCTGATATTCTCCAGAGATTGGAATTGTGGGAATCCTCGAGAGAGTAAGCCAAGATCACCCTTGTTCAAGACATTTCTGTGTTGTAGAAGATTCACATCTCAAAGAGTAGAAAAGGACTGACAATTTCATCTTTTCCTCTTTTTCCTCTTTCCCTACCTCGCACAAGTTTTTTTTTTTTTGGGTACGGTCGTGGGGCCTGAACTCTGGGCCTGGGTGCTGTCCCTCAGCTCTTCAGCTCAAGGCTAGCGCTCTACCACTTGAGCCACAGCGCCAC